CCTGCTTACCTGCCTCTACTTTCTCGTCTACTTACTTGCCTACTTATCTACCTCTACTTTCTTACTTACTTACTTACCTACTTACCTACCTGCCTACTTCTATACATGCCTACCTATATACCTACTTGCCTCCCTGCTTCTTCTTCATGCCTACCTACCTACTCTGGTTTTAATCTACCTATGTATGCCTTCTGGTCTACTGGGAATCCTTACGCATGATCTAGTCTACACGCCCCTAATGGCTAAATATATAATGGTAAAATATACCATATATATATATATATATATATTAATCTTTACCCTTACTTACCCTTCTTCTATTATTATATATATATATATTTTACTCTCCTACCTACTTACTACCCTAACTATTAACTATCTTACTATCTCTATATCCCCTCCCTCTCTACCTCCTGGCTCACCCCTCGCAACCAACAAAAACTCTCAAATAACTGGCTGTGCCCATGCGTACTGCTGCGCTGCCCTAACCACTTGGTAACTGCTTCCACGTCCTGGCTGTCTACCCTAACCCCTTGTAACTGCTGCTGTCATGCTACCTGCATGGCCGTTCCCCATGGCCCATATAACATCAACGCCACCATGGGGATTAATACCCCGTGGAACTCGCACCCTGTGGCTCCCTTCCACCCATGGCATATCGTCTGGGGCATCCTGCATGTGAAACATCCAATGTACCGCGCGTACCGGATCCTCTGTTGTACCTGGACCATCTACTGCTTTGCCGCCTGGCTGCTGGCATGCCTGCATGAATATAAATCATGCTGGTCCTCCCGCTGCGCCATCGTGCATATATAACATTGATCCTGCCACTGCCACGCCTCCTGCTCCCCAAATTCCTTGTCTAACCACTGTCGCGCGTGCTCCTACTAGAAATACATATCTCCTGCCGCTCACTGCGACGCCTGCGATGCCTGGGATGCCTGGCTACTAGCTGGAACCCTAACCACTGGTGAACCATTTTGGCCAACCTCACCTGCTTCGTGGTGGCCGGCATCGGGCCTGCTACTGCCTGGAACTGATCTGATCCCTAACCCTAACACTTCCGCGGTGGCTGGTGGTGTCATGGCGGCCATGGCAGCTGCCTCTGCCTCTGCCTCTGGTGGTGGTGCTGGTGGTTCGTATCTAATCTGGCTGATGATCGATCCACTGCTCGCGGGGCTATCATCTCCTGGTCTGACCCCCTGTCCATCCTCTCTAAACCCTGACCCTGGCTGGGTTGCTGGCGGCGTGGTGACCTGCGCGGGCCTGCGCGCTGGTGCATCCTTCTAAACCTGAACCTGAACTGCCTGCGAACCGCTTGTGCTGGTGCTGCTGGTGCCGGTGCTGGTGCCAGCCACATGCTGGGCCTGCCGCTAACTGGGATCGCATTGGTCACACGCCTGCTCCTCCTACCCAGCATCCCCACACCGCTGCCGCTCGTATCCGTTGATGATCCCGTCTAAATACCCATCTAAAACCACCCGCCAGCACCTTCCTGCATGCATGTATCTCTGCACCCGCTGTGCCTCGATATCCTAATCCTGATCCTCTACCTCCTTCCCCTCCCGTGCATGGTGACCACCTATACTGCCACCATGACTATACTCGTCCATCCCCTCTAGCTGGATGATGATGGCCTCGCTGGCCTGCCTGTCCTGCCTAGCCTGGCCACTCTCCTGCGCGTAATCTAACAACGTCCGTGGCACGCCAATGTAGATGATCACGTGGATGTCTGGGATATCCACCCCCATGCCCAACGCGTTGGTGGCCATGATCACGTCCATGGTGCCCTGGATGAACCGCTCCAACACCCCTGCGCGGTCCACCTGCTGGCTGTGGTACGCCTCGCACCTGAATATCTCCGCCATGGCCTGCACCTGCCGCACCGCGTTTGCATATATCACCACCTTCCCCCTACTAGCCCGCCGCGCCTGCTGGATGCGCGCCTGGATGAATGTAATGATACTGGGATCCTGCTGCTACTGGTACGGGCTGGCCACCGCGGGCCGCCACACGTGGTATGCCACGTTACTGCGGCTGGTGCGTGCGCGATATATATATATCTGGTCGCGCGGGTAATGGATGCGCTGGCTAAACTCGCCTTCTATCTGTGGGGGTAACATGGTGGTTAAATACACCATCAGGCACCACGCCCGTACTAACCAGCCTAACTGCGCTATCTGCGGCTGGAAATCCTTCTGCGCATTTATGATGATATGGCACTTGTCCACTACCACGCGGTCTAACCGGCGTATTATCACTAACCGGTTAATAAATGATTAGAAATCGCTTGTTACCGCAGACTCGGGCGTCACTAACATGATGGCGGCCTTGTTAGGCGGCTGCTGCTAGTCCCACGCCACGCATGACACCCCTAGCTGCTGGCACTGCCGCGCCATGTCCTGGCACAACGATATTAACGGGACCACCACGATGGTGGTGCCGCTGGGCATGGCCCACGCGGGTAACATGAATAACATGCTTTTGCCACCCCCCGTGGGCATGATCGCCACCACTGGGCTGCGGCCCTGCTGGATCGCTGCCATGGTGGGGCCCTGGACCCCGCGGAACTGCATGTGGGCCTGGCCAGTCATCTGCTACATCGTGGTGGTCATGTCCATGGCCTGTAACTGCTGCCGCCGCTCCTACTAGTGCTCCTTGGCCTCAGCCTGCCATGGCGCGCGCTTGCGCTTGCCCAACGTCATGGTGGTGGCCGGACTAACCCTAACCCTAATATCAGCATGGCCGCTGGGCTGCCCGGGGCTAACCCTAACTACTTGGGAACCGCTTGGGGCGCGGGCCCCACTGCCTGCGGGCTGCCCACCATCCTCCTGCGCATGGCTAACCCTAACCCTAATATTAGTGGTGGTGGTGGGATGGTGCTGGTCTGGGCTGGGCGCGCGCGGGGTTTGTAACCATGGTTATAAATGGCCTGTGGCGCTAGCTGCCTTGTCCGTGGGGACCAACCATGGTTGTAAACTACTTGGGGCGCGGGCCCTGCTGCCCGTGGGCTGCCCATCATCGCGACTACCATCATCCTGGCCATGGCCCTGGCTGTGGCGAACCCTAACTGCTTGTAAACCGCTTAGGGCGCGGGCCCCGTTGCCTGCAGGCTGCCCACCATCGCGACTACCATCATCCTGGCCATGGCCCTGGCTGCGGCGAACCCTAACTGCTTACGAACCGCTTGGGGCGCGGGCCCCGTTGCCTGCGGGCTGGGCCTGACCATCACGACTACCATCATGACTACAATAATCCTGGCTAAACCCTAAAAACTCATGCCACTCCACGCTGGACTGCAGGAACATGGCCCACAAGTGGCTGGTCGTGCCCGCCTGCTCCATGATCTGCCGCGCGTACACCATGCCGGCCACGTGTGATAAATGCGCCACCTGTAAATCCGTAATGTACGCCATCTACTACTCCGCGTCCATCCCCTCCTCGTGGTTGGCATTGAATAACTCCGCCGCGGCTGGCTGCTCCTTCTTGTCATGGGCGTTGCTTCTGAACGCGCTGGCCCCGCGCATGAACCGCTGGCTGATCCTAATGGCAATATCCTGGTACGTGGGGATGTTTAATGCCTGGCCTAACCGCGCCTGCGTCTCGCGCTTCAACACCTCGCGGAACTGGTTAGACGTCCACGCGCGCTGCGTGCCCGCATCGGGGCCCCATAAATATGGGCTGGCTAACCCTAACCCTAACCCTGATGCTGTGGCGGCGGCGCCTGCGGGTTGGCTGGATGAGTGGGCTAACCCTACCCTAGGCGCGCGAGCTTGGGCATCCTCCCTACCCCCATCAAACCCTAACCCTAATCCCCTGCCTGCTGGCTGGGTTACTAGCTGCTGCTGCTGCTGCTGCGCTGCCTGCCACGCGGTTAACTGCTCTGTGAACGGCAACACTAACCACATGTACCACACGATCAACTCCCCTACCGCCCGCGGCACGTACCAGTGGATCAGCTTGATGTTATTGCTCGCGTGGAACCCCTTGTGGTACGCCGTCACCACCGTCACCATCCCATCCTTGATAAATATATTCTAGTGCCGGCTGGCCTGCGTGTTGACATGCTGGATGCTCAACAGCTCGGGCGCCCGCGCGGGCTGGCCGCCTGTAATGTGGATGGCCACCACTAGCTTCTCCTTGAACCAGGCCACGCGGCTTAAATACTACGCCACTAGCTGGGCCTGCACCTGGCCGTGGCGCATGAACTGGCGCTGCATGGCGGGCTCGCTGCGCAGCCGCTACATTAACCACTGTTTCCTATTAACGGGCCACTGTGTGCGGGTATCCTACAAAAAACACCACCCCTTCTAGCCCTGCGTGGGGTCGTCGTACAATCCGGACCATGGGATGGGTGGAAAATTGGTGGTGGTAGTGTTACTATTGCTGGTGGTGTTGCCAGTCGTGGCGTTGGTGGTGGGTGGGGATATATATAATACCTCCCGAAGAAGCTAGCGCGCCGACCCCACCAAACCATGCACGAACCCGCGGAACGCGCCCATGGTGAAATGCACGTCCTTGTACAAAAGCTCGTCGCCGCCCATCCACCCTACATGCCCAGGTGTGGTGGTGTTGTAATGCACCTTCAACCCGTACGTGCGCTAATCCAGCAACGTCTGCATGGGGCCGTGCGTGCCGCGGATCATGAAGCTGCGTACCATCTGCTGCACGTGGTCGTGGAACAGCTTCCCACCTAACCCTAACCCTGATCCTGATCCTAGTGCTGATCCTGGTGGCGATCCTGATGGCGATCCTATGATGGGCGCATCCCCTGCATGGATATCCACTAGCTTGTTGTCCGCGCTGGTTAACGGCCATGCAATGGGGCTGCTGCTGCTGCCACCACTACCTGGCTGCTGGTGGCCCGTCCACATGTGGATGATCTCCCTGGCGTGGGGATCCAACCACAACGCCTTCTGTACCACCATGAAGCGCGCCACCTTGAGCACGCGGGATAATATGGGTGGGTAACTACTGGGATCGCGCTAGCGCGCCTCGCCCCACCCTTGCACGGCCATGGCGCACACCAGCGTGCTCTCGTACTCGTGCGTGTGGTGGCGCTGGTTTATTAGCTTAATACAAAACTCCAAGCATGCTTGCTCCATGGGGGTTATCTACCACGCCTCTACCTCTGCATCTGTAGCCTTGACCCCATCCCTATCATCCATCTCCTCGTCCAGCTCCGTCGCGGTTGGGCTGCTACTACCTGGGCTGGTACTAGTGCTGGGGCTGGCACTCCACACGTCCTTAATAATCTGGCCGGCCCTGGTGAATGTATGGATAACCCTCACCCCTGGCCTGGCTCGGGCTTGTGCACGCGCTTGGCCACTAGCTCCCGCTTTAGCTTTGGGCCTCTTAATGGCTGGCATGGCTAGCTGCTATAACGCCTGCCACTTCTGGCGCTGCCGTGGGGTCATCCCATACGTGGGTAACCTCCTAAGCCACTTGCCATGGCCATGGCCACTACCATCCTCATCCCCGTCCTTACTATCTTAGCTATCTTGGCTTGGGCTTGCCTGCGCGGCCTGCGTGCGCGTGATGAATGCTAACACCTGCTGCCATGGCTGCACGTGCTTCTCAATGCTAGCCTCGTCCATGTACGCCTATAATGGCTTGTATAGCGTCTGGCCCGCCTCTATATGGGCCGCCTCCACGCGGATGCCCGCGCCACACTGCTGCATGGTCTGCTGGCTGCGCCGCGCCAGCTGGTCCATGGCGTCCTAAATCACCCGCACGGCCTGCTTGGTGAGATCTACCTTGGGATCTATATCCACTAGCTCCTCCTCCTCTACTACCTCTACCTCCACGGGCGCCTCTACGAGCTGGCGCAAATCCTGCGGGTGCACGCCATCTAAATACCTCGCCCACCCCGTCATGCGTAGCCATGGGTTGGCATCAGCCGCCTTGTCCGCCTGGATGGTGGCCTGCTCCGCTGCCTGCGCGCGCGCCTGCTCCCATGTAATGACCATGGCATCTACGGCCTGCTGGGCCTGCTCCGCGGGTGGCGGTGGTGGGCTCTGGTAGTGGCCGCCTAGGTACCTAATATGGATGTAATGGGACCCCTTGCGCATGGGGAACACCTGCTGCCACGCCACGCGCGTGTATGATCGTGCTAGCTCTACCTCCCCACGCGCCTTTTCCCTCGGGCCGACATGGCCCTGGTGGCCCTGCTAGGACCATTAGTGGGTGGCTCGCCAGTGCACCCGCATGGACGCCATGGTGGATCCAATGTAATGGCACTGTGTGGGGTCCCACTAGCATAACAACCCGTTGGCGTGGCATGGTAATATAGGTAGCGTGTTATCCATAACCCATGGGATCTAGATCGCCTGGCTATCCTGCGTGATATCCGCCCATTACTGGATGGCCTAGGTGACCTGGGTGGCCTGATGGTGGTTTAATTAATGCTTCTGCTTTAAATAGCGTTCCGCCTTAGCTGGCCGCACCCCATGCTTGCACTGGCGGCAAATGATAATCTATAAGCTGGGGATCTTCTCGAATAATTAGCTCTCCATGGTGGGAACTGGTTATTTACTAGTTAATAACTACTTCGCGACTACTTGACTTATTCAATAATAATAATAATGGATGGATGGATGGATCAATAGATTAGTTAATGGGATTCACTATAATAATAAATAATAACATTCATATTTATAGTTACTATGGTTTCCACGTGTTTCCATGGTCACTGCTGTTAGTATAGCGAGTGTAGGAGTAGGAGGAGTATGGTGGGTTGATTAGTCCTAACGCCACTCCCGCGCTCGTAAAACCTAAAAAACCCTAAAGTAGGAAAATCAAAAACTAAGGCATGTTTAATTAACCACTACACCCTAATCTCTTATTAGAGCGACTCCTAACTAGCACCAGCTAGAGCTAACTGGCCCCGCTAACCCCTGGCCCAATCTGAGCCGGATCGGCCATGAAAAAGCCAGTGTAAGATACGCGAGGATTCCTAGTAAAGGATACGTAAAGTGGATCTGGAGCTAGCCAATCAGCGGCCGAAGCCGCGGCAACCCTAGGTCAAGGATACGTATCTTTCACTGACCCCCCTGGGTTAGGGTGCAATTCATACTATTAAAGTTCTTTCTAACCATGCTAATTTACAGGTCTTCATGCATCAACCACGCATGAATAGTAGGCAAGCAAGATGGTGCTTGTTCCTAACCCCTTTTGATTTTGTTATCAAGCATCGTGCAGGCAAGAGAAATCCTATAGATAGTCCTTCCTGGAAATATACAGGCAATTTTAAAAGGACCTTGAAGGCTGAATTGCTAGCCCTAATTCAAAGCTGTATTATTGAAGTTTCTTTAATAACAACTTTAGATTTCATGCATGAGAAATCCCAGTTTAAACCAGGCGAGATGCCCTTAGAGGAAGTCTATCCTCAGTTCAGTACCCATGATAAGCAGAGATCCTTGGGATCTGGTACAAAATCAGCTGACTAGGCTGTATGGGAAGATTTGTGTTTAAACCAGTATCTTCCCCAGGTTGTTGCTTCACAGTTGAAGATAATAGAAGGGAAAATAGACCTTTAAGAGATCCTATATTAACTTCAAGTCGAAGATCTAAAGACACGTCGTCAGAAGCTTGCCATTAAGAATAGGTAACCTGGCCAAAAGCACTAGTCCATCAATTATAATAGTCTTCTTTGTTTTTAGAAATGAATCTATGTCCCCCCTGCACAGGAACTACGCATGTTTATTATCTAGATGTATCATGATGATCCCCACGCAGGCCATTTTGGACGAGTCCGAACTCAATAGCTTATTAAGCAAAAGTTTCATTGGCCATTAATAAAAGACTAAGTTACTAAATATGTTAAACATTGCAAAGCATGTCAAGGCACTATCGCACCTCGTTACTAAAAATATAGTGAACTCAAGGCGCTTCCATGCCCTTCTTAACCTTTTTAGGAGCTCACTATGGATTTTATCACTAGATTACCTCCTGTCTTGTATTAGGGACGAATTGTTAATGCTATCCTAGTGATTATTGATTATTTTACTAAATAGAGTATCTTTCTACTAGTCCCTATAACTATTTCTGCTCCTAACCTTACTTAAATTTTCTATACTAAAGTCGCGTTGCGCTATAGTATACTAAAAGGCATAGTCTCTAATTAAGGCTCACTGTTCACAAGTAGATATTAGGGGGAACTATCATGGTTCCACTATATCAAGCTCTGATTATTAACAGCGTTTCACCCCCAAACTAATAGGTAAACTAAACGCGTTAATCAAATTTTAGAATAATATCTTCGTTATTTTATTAATAAAAATTATCTTATTTAGCCTACTTTACTTCCTACTACTTAATATACTTGTAATAATACTATTAATTCTACAACAGGCTATTCGCCCTTTGAAGCCTTATATGGCTATTTATCTAATTTTCAAACTAGGATCGAGGCTGATCCTCATGTCAGGAGGGTACTAGTAGTGTATAATAGGATTAAGAAACTCATGAAGCTTCAGGAAAAGCTTAAGGAATATTAGTAAAAGGCTATTAAAGGCTATATAAAAGCCTATAATCACACTTACTTCCCTATTTCTTTTAAGCGCTCTTAACTTGTTAAACTCTCCACGCGAAACTTAAACCTTAAACTACCAAGTTAGAAACTATCCCCTAAATTTATTAGACCATTTTAAGTACTTAATACTATAGGTATATAAGCGTACTATCTTGTTTTACCCTAACTATATGACTAAATTCATAATATTTTCTATGTATCCCTTTTAGAACCATGGCATGGGAAAGCTAATAATCCCCTTATAATACCTAAACTTGCTAAAGAAGAAGAATGGGAAGTTAAAGAAATTAAAGATAAGTAAGTCTATAATAGAGAAACATTCTACTTGCTTAAGTAGAAAGACTGGCCTTCTAAATATAATTAATGGGTTCTTAATAGCGATATTCACGCTCCTAAACTTGTATAATAATTTAAATAGTAAAAGAAAAACTACAGAAATCCTTAATAAACTATAATAAATTCTTAATAAATTATTAGAACAACGCAAACACTTGTATAGAATAAATGT